TTTTATAAAGAATATCTCTTTGGATTTGAGACTTTAGTCGTTGCAACTTTACAGATCTTCTTTATGCACCAAGAGCTTGTAACACTCCAAAGAGAAAGGAACAATTGAAATCGCATCATATGACCCCTTTAACACTGTGTGTCTCTCTCTCCAGAGCTCCTGACACAGCCGGACAAACAGCCGGACAAATGCAGCAGGTTTAAACGTCTTCAGATGTTCAAGAAATCCAGCCGTAAGACTGAAAACACCAGCAGAAGAAAGAAGAAAAACAGCTGAAGAACAGAAAGAGACTTAAGATGCTTATTCAGAAATGTACAGTAACGGTAAAAACACCCTTCAGGACAAACTGAACCGTTTCTACCCCTTTTGTTTATTTTTACACTTATATGTCTGTATTTTTAATTATTTTTATAATTATTATTATATGACACACTTTTATAATTAACCAGGAAAGTTTCTTCTTTTAAAACTAGGATATTTGTGCGAGAGGATTTGGAAAATGTTCCATTCACGTTTCCTCAACATATAGGTTCTGTGAACGTCTCTGCTACTCAGACCAATTTATATTTATTTGAAATTAAAAATTCATAATTTCATGTACTTCTTTACTTTAAATTATTCCGTTTTGTGGTATAGTTGTGTGAGTGTTTTTATGGCTAACTGGGGAAACAGCTGTAACATAAGAGTTCATCATCAGACACTAAAACTATCCAAACTTTTTTTGGGGGGTGTTTCTACATCAGGGGTGCCCAACCCTGCTCCTGGCGATCGACTGTCCTGCAAAGTTCAGCTCCAACCCTAATCAAACACACCTGAAGCAACTAATTAAGGTCTTCAGGATCACTTAAAAATTAAAGGCAGGTGTGTTTGATTAGAGTTGGAGCTAAACTTTGCAGGACAGTCGATCGCCAGGAGCAGGGTTGGGCACCCCTGTTCTACATGATTATATTTCTGCATGATTATTAGCCCAGTAAATGACAATATCATTATTATTTAATTGTGCTAAATCAATGAATGTTCAAATGGCAGACCTACTTACTTCACATTTAACAGCTTCTAAAACTAAAAATGACATACATGACTTGGATTTTCAGTACAGTGCTTCTTTATTTCAGTAAACAGCAGCGGTTTTCGATCTGCTCGAGACAGTCGGGTGTTTGAGGGCATTTTTACACGTCCTGTTCAAGCCTGTCAGTGCTTGTTTTCATCGTGGCCTTTATTCTCCTCAGCAAGATTTAATCGTCATTTAAAAAGGACATCGTCGCAATCTCTGTCTGACTGCAGATTTAATCAGAGACAGCTGCTTCACAACAAAATGTTTCTCAAGGGGAAAAAATACAGCAGATTTTGAATTAGAATATATAGACACTAAATCTAGTTTTCCATGCAACTACAGATGGATATCACAATTGTCATTGGATGGTAGAAATAAAAAACTAGCATTCTATTTAAAGTGAAAATAAGCGTTATAAAATTTTTGCTAAGCATAAATTTAGTTAGGAATAATAATAATATGGTTGCATAGTTTACAAATATGTAACTATGAATTTATAAAATGAGAAAAAAAGCCCACCCTTCGATAGTTGGCTAATGCATAAGCTGACATTAACAAATACTTTGTATTGTAAAGTATTACCATTAATGGTGTTAGAAATTCAACAACCATATAAAGTCTTACTTCTTAGAGTACAAAAAAAAAAAAGCATTACAGCTCTGGGATTCTGTATTAAAGTGTTTATTATATGTAATCTATATAGAAAGTGTTTATTGTATCTAAACTGGGTTTTATAAAGGCACACTTGGCTGTATTTAAAACTCGTCTCTAGAGAGTATAAAGATATGTTTTCATAAAGTGATGAATGTCTGTATGAATGTCTGAATGAGAGCGATTGTGTGAAAAGTCCTTATATGGCAATGATCTCGAGATATAAACGGTGTTCATCCGCTTCCTTATCTACATCAGAAGAATTTAAGAACAACTTTAGGCTCATATAATCTTAAGAATCTGGCAAAGTTTACACTCAAACCAACGATTCTATACAATTAAATTAGTCCATGTGCATGTTTATAAAAGAAAACACACACATTCTCTTTCTGATCATTCTGATCATGTGATTTCACCAACCACAGTGTGTTTACGTGTCTATATAAAACCCAGCAGAAAGCTGTCGTTTGTTATTTGGACTTCAGAAGAAGGACAGATTGACTTACAAAGAGAGACATCAACTCTCAGGTTTGACTTCATTGCTGAATATGAACCATTTAATCAGTTTGTTTTTAATTCCTCTAATTTTTTTAATGAATCAGAATGACTTCATTTGCCATGAAGTTAGCCTCAAATGTAAAAAAAAAAGTTCTAATATCCACCAACTTGCTACATTCTGCAACAATGCTTTTTCATCTAGCATCTCCAAAACTCAGAAATAAATCAATGTGCCTTGATATGTACAAATAGTGTTTGTAAAAACAAACGTTCTCTTTTATGTTAATGAATCATGATCTGTCCATGCGTCACATTTCTAAAACATTTCATAAGCTGTTGATGAAACTAATGTAGAAAAGTGTAGTAAATCAGCTCAAAAGGGAAATATGAGTCTGTGCAGATGAGCAGTTCTCTGATGTTATGAGTTGATGCTATCTGCAGGGTTATGAGAATAGCTGCTATCTCAGCATATTGTGATGATTGTGGACCCAGCTTGAAGTGTTGTGGTGGGCAGGGTCGATCATTTAGCCAGAGAACACCAGCACCTGCCTTTAGGATGCCCTCGTGGTTGTAGTAACATCCATCGACGTAGGCTGTGGGCATTCCTTGGCAGACATTCTCGTCAAAATATTATACATGCACATTTTTATTCAAATCTAAATATTAAACAGTATACAATTATGTATAAAATAACAAAACGGCAAAACAACTACAAAAATAATCTAAAAAAGAAAGATTTATTAACATTATACGTGCACTTTCTTTCAGTAAAAGTTGTAATAAATCAGTTCAAAAGGGAAATATTTATGACTAATTATAACTGGTTATGATTAATAATAAATATTTCTATTAGATCTTCGAATTAACTGTAGCCGAATCAATATTACCATTACTTGAGCTGTCCGTCCACCGAGCAGACAAAATAATCATTTATCAATTCAAAGAGTCTGTGACCAGGACTGTAATTTATATGCAAATGTCAAAAGTTAAAAGGGTCTCTTAAGCCATAAAACCCAAAGATCATGCATGATTCTACGCAGACGCTACAAAAGGTTTATTTGCCTGTTGATAAGTGATGCTTCTTTAACTTTGACAAAAATGAACATTTATTTCAAGGTGCTAAAATTGTAATAGAACTGTAAAGGTAAAGATGAAAATTGTAAAGGCATCCAATGAAAAACAAAAAGAGAAGAGATTAGAGGGAATATTATACATATTTTTAAATCCTCTATGCTGTCTCACAGTATTTACTACTACATTTTAGGTCACGCATCAATAATGGAACCAAATGCACAATTAAACTTGATTTTACTGGGGACAGCACAAGCTGGAAAGAGTGCGTCAGGAAACACAATACTGGGACGACAAGCTTTTGTGACAAATGAAAGCCCCTTTTCAGTCACACAAGATGTTGCTGTTGTATCCGGGACCATCTTTGGGATTCCAGTCTCTTTTTATGACACACCAGGATTATATGAGACTCAAATCAACGAGAATCAGATGTTGCTCCAATATAGTATAGAGTATTTTCCAGAAATGGGAATCTGGTGCTTGTGTGTTTCTGCTGGTCATCAAAGCCGACAGATTCACTGCAGAAGTGTGTGTGTGTGTGTGATTAAAATGGGAAATATGCTAATATACTAACATTTAAATGACTACTTGCATCTCTTTTGTGTTTAATACAGCATCAGAATGAGGGATGCAAGTCACAACGTTCACTCTTGATCTTTATGTCACTGGTTATTTTTCCAGAAGGATTGTTCTTCTGGGTAAAACTGGTGTTGGGAAAAGTGCAGCTGGAAAACAAATACTGGGACAGAAAGAGTTCAGATCTGCGAGGAGAATGATTGCAGTAACCCATGAATGTTCAGTGAAACACGGCATTGTTTCAGACAGATCTGTGTCTATAGTTGATACTCCTGGATTCACTGACACATTGATGGAACCTGAAGAGTTAGCGAGGAGTGTTTATTTATCCAAAGACTATATAAACCAGGGGTGTCAAACTCAATTCCTGGAGGGACGGAGCCCTGCAGAGATTAGTTCCAACCCTGCTCCAACACACAGTCCATGTAGTTTTCAAATAAGCCTTAAGAACTTGATTAGTTGGATCATGTGTGTTTAATTAGGGTTGAATCTAAACTCTGCAGAGCTCCGGCCCTCCAGGAACTGAGTTTGACACCCGTGCTATAGACCTACCGGAGGAAGCCCCACCTTCTGAATAAAAGAGCCAGTCACTAATCAGTAAAGTCATCGTGTCACTGCAGCTAGAAACAGGCCCTGTCCCAAACGACACTTCATGTGCACTTGCGGTCTTGCACACTTACAATGGCAGCCACGTGCGCATTTCTGTTAAGTCCACGAGACCGTAGAGTGTCCCATTCATCATTTTAGCTATGCACCCTCGATGCGCACTTCTGCCGAGCCCGCATCAGGGCGAGCTCCGCAGCAAACTTCTACCCAACAGTCAAAGCGCCACTACGTCACGAAAGTGTGGACTCGGAGGAAGACCACGAGGGTTTAGGGTGCCATTTGGGACAGGCCCTGCATTCCATTCGGAAGGGCTCATCCCTACACCCTAATCCCTTCAAAGGCTTTACCCTCCGGAGTGAGAGCGTCGAAGGGATGAAGGGTGTAGGTGTCCAAAAAAACTCTTTTTTTGGAAAGCACTTCTGCGTCATCTTAACGAGACTGAGGCACCTTCGTCGCACATTTTTTACGCTGTTTACCCCGAGTCATCTTTTACGTTAAATATAATGTATATTTGTATATGTAATGTAATGTAATATGTATTTGTAATGTATATTGTGTCTATGTATTTGAAACATTTGAATGGACTGATAAAGTACAATGTCATTTTGACCATAATGTACCAAATCTAGCTCGTATAAATATTACAGTAGTATAGAAAAATACTATACATACATTTATAGGTGAAGTCGAACTCTGACGCCAAACAACTTCCCTGTGCAAAGGATCATGGGGGCCTGAATTCTCCATCAGTTGTACCCTTCAAAATCCTTCATTCTGAAGGGCCCTTTGAAGTGGCCAGTTTTGAGCACTTCGGTTTGGAATGACCCTTCAATATGGTGGCCATGATTGTTTTCACTCTGAAGTGCCCTTCGGAGGTCGATATATCCTGTTTGGAAAGCACAGAGGGCCGCTGAGCTACACGGAAATCTGACGATTGTGTTACACTGACGTTGCTGTCTGCTGGCCTATTATCAAATCTTAAAAACTATGGCAAACATTTTTTCATGGAGGTAATCGGGATTAGTTAGGCTTAGACGGGTGGATTTTATAAAAATGAATAAGACTAAGAAAATATTCTTAAACAACAAAGAACTAGAGGAATGAGTAAATAATCCTAAACCAACAGTGTAATAA